CGCGAGGAGCCGGAGGAGGGGGCGGAGGAAAAGTTCCCGTGACGTCAGGGTCCCGGGGAAGTGGGCGGGAGGGAAGGGCCCGATGGGGGCGAAGCGACCGCTGATTGGTGCGCGCTCCCCATTCACGCCGAGCACAATGGACTGCGGGCGCGCGCACCGCAGCTCTCTGCACCCGCCGCTCGCTGCAGGCGAGCGGTGACGCCTTTTGCCCGGGGGATTCCCCCCACCGCCCAGCGCCTTGGGACCTCCGGTTGGAGCCGTCGGCGTCGCGGAGGCCCGGTGGTAGCCGGAGGAAAGGAGGAGAAAGAAGGTGATGAATTCCAGAATCACTCATTCACCCCCACGCGGTAGTTCCGGGGAAGACCTATGCGTGGTAGTGGATGTGGCTTTTTTTTTTCCTTTTCCTGCCCCCTCCCAGTTCTAATCCCCAGCGTCTGTTCGCTTCCACAAATAGAACCTTCTGTTGGATGAAATAAAAGCAAACACTGGGCCTTCTGCGCTGCCTCCACCTCCACGCCCCTCCCGCGCCTGCCGCCCGCCCAGATTGCACGGAAATAGCTTCTCCAGGCTCCCGGGCCGCCCCTTCGCGGTGACTCGCAGAAAGAGCTTCCTGAGCCGGGGCCGGTGGGAAACAAAGGATGTGGGGAGAGGGCGGAAGGGGCCCACGTGGCTGCCGCCAGATTCCTGTCCCCTCCCCGGCCTCCACATGCGCATCAGGGTCAGGGGCCCCAGGGCCAGCCCGGTTCCTTGGTGGCCAAGTAGCGGAGTGGAAGTCATTCCGGCCACCGACAGTGATCCTGCCTGGACCTGAGCAACCCTGCCAGGGCGTGTGCGTTCACTCGTGCAACGTGATTTGGGTGAACTCGAAATGTGTGTCAGACCCCGTACAAAGCTCCCTGAAAAAACACCCTAGAATCTGCCTTTTTTCTTTCTTTCGAGAACCAGGTCAGTTTTGGAGTCCCTGGACACCCAACATAGATAACTATTATCAGAGAGACCCTTCTGCACGTCTGCTAAAAACTTCGTTTTCTAAAACCAGGTCGAGCCCCAAGGATAAATCCTCTTCTATGTAAAATCTCCATTCATTCAACAAAAACACTAATTAAGCACCTATTAAGAGCTGGACGCTTGGGATTAGAAGATGAAAATTAAAATAGTAATAATAGCTAACATTAACTGAGGTCTGTAGCGTGCCAGGCACTGTTAGCACTTTACCCGTATTCATGGCAGTTACATAGCCGCCCTGTGGGGTTATTTTTTGCCCCTTTTCACAGAAGAAGAAACTGCGAAGATTAAGTTACTTTCAGTGGTCAAACCGCTACTAAATAGTGGAGCATCCACGCTCTTAAACGCTTGTGGGGACTCAAAAGGAGAGATTACATCTTGCAGAGAGAAAAGAGTTTGGGAGGATTCCATCTGGAAGGCATTTGACCTGTGTGGAGTGGTGGAGTGGGAACGTGTGGGATGGTAAACTAGT